AACCTATTCATTGTGAGGCGGCTTGGATCAGGCGCTTCAGAAAGTCCGGACCCACTTCAATCGCATCCTTGTGGCGTTTAGCCGCACTGTATATTCCTTTGGCCCTGAGCACCCTAAGCCCTGAACCTCCAAGCCTGGTCAGTTGCAGCAACAAGCAGACCTGATCATGCACAAGCACCTAATGTCGCATTGTGTGTCCACAACCCTAGGCCCTAGCCCGGAAACGGTTCCCAATGCCATTCCGGAAAGCGTGCAAAGTTTTCAGAGTGACGGTGTGAAGCTTGAACCCGTCTGTCAAATTAGATGAATATGGTGGACCCATCCGTCTTGGATTCCAGAAGGCTCTCGCACGTTGGTTGCTCCGAGTGCGTTGGTTTCCCTCAGCTGGCAACCGTACGCACAGTTCAAGATATGCTTCGGTATGTTTTTTCATGTGGAGTACTGGTGCTAGTATGCCTTTGACGGTTGAAGGAAACCAGTTAAATATGTCATTATTGTAACCTTCCAGGATGTCAGGAAGCTAATTAACGTGTTTTGCGAGCCCATTTTGCAAGAACCCGGGAATGTGATTGATGTCTTTGAAAGTTGTTGCTCGACGCTTCGTCTGAGGTGTCGGCTGGAGGTAAAACACTAGGCCGTACAAGAGAATCATTTGGGTGGGTCGAACTAGCGACGCACAGGAGCGGACCTGGGTGAATTCAGCGCAGCAAGCCTTCAACCCTAAGGCACTATAGGGGTTTCTAGGCTGTGGAAGGCTTCACATGAGGCTGACATAAGGCTCCAGGAAGCACCGAAACCCCAAATCAGGTCTCCAAAATGAAATGAAATGCGAATGTGAAAGAAGAAGGAACTCCCCAGGATCATGGTAGGTACTATAGGTTGTTTATGCTGGTTCCTAGGATGGCCTCCAAAGACGCACATTCTTAAACCGAAGGCTTCAAGGCCAGGGGTGTTGGGTGTAGGCTGTAGGCGTTCATGTTTAGGGCGGGCCTGGCCTGGCATTCAGAGGACCGGTGCACATCAGCACATTGCCAGCAAGCCCACATCACCGTCATGCAAAAGCAACTTGCCATGGTTTGAAGATTGACGTTTTGGGAGTTCCGCCTCTGCATCCTCTTGTACCTCATGCTGCTTACAACGACCGCTGGTGCTCACAAGTCCCGGACAGAAGCATGATAATGTATGGTTCTAGTTGACCCGATGGTCCGGACCCTAGACCACCACCTCGAGCCTGCACACAAAATGGAAACTCCATGGCGGGACATGCACTCCTCTCTAAACCCTACTTGCCCTAACACAAGGAGTGGGGCTGCCCCGGGGTTAAAAGCTTCAACCCAAAAACACAAACCAGAAAGGCCTCAAGCCTGCAGAGTCGACATGGCCTCCTCATCCCGAGGCTGAGGTTCGACCGTTTAAACCCTAAACACTTGAGGCGTTGAGCGTTAGGGCGTGAGAGCTTGGATTTTACCACAGAAGCGGCATGAGCCTTATTTTGGTGATGTGACTTGAAGGCCTCTGATCCAGCGGCCCGGGGCTATGCATTCGGGTTCAGTGATTAGGCTACATATTGCAATATCTTCCAGCCACTTGGCATTTATTCCCAACTTCACACAGCCTCACTAGGGCGCAATGTTGCAGCGCGCTTCTGGGGGTATTGCCATACGCGACGCTATGCTCAGGGAACCCCAGAAAGCATCAGCAGCCTCTTGACAGCAGCTTCTTTTCCTGAAGCGCATGAGAAACCTCATTTCTTCAGGGGCCTGCCCCCGATTTTCAAAACCCCCCACCTGTAGATGTGAAATATGAACCCAACTACTATACAATACCAAACCCTAAATACTAAACCGGAAACCCGAATCCCGACACCGCCGCTACTCGGAACCACTCCTCATCAGTTGGCGGGAGCGACGCCGAAGTCGACGCACTTCAGAGTGCATGAAATGAAAACCTGGATTGATTGTAGGGGGCTTCAAGGGTGTAGGGTCTAGGGTTCAGCACTTAAGGTCTAGTGCAACTGAGCTACCCGAAGAAGGAACCACATTACTTACCAAAGGTGCCGATCATGCTAACATGAGCTTATAGTTCCTTAGCAGCAGCCCAGCAACAGAAGTTCGCCAGAATGAGGCTCATGAGGAAGACAAAAACCACCAACCACCTCGGATCATTTGCTGGGGCCAGCGAAACCCTAAACCCCAAAAAGCCTTTGAGAGGAATAGCCGACCTGGAACTCACAACTCACATCGAAGTGTTGGCACACCTGCGTGAGCGCGTCAGCACCATCGCTTCCAGCGCCCCCAAGGTCGCAAAGCCCAAGAAGATCATCAAGGTGCTCACCTAGGGGCTCAGGAACCCCTAAACCCTTTAGAGGGCTTAGGGGCTTATATAAACCCTTTCGAGGGCCACTAGAGGGCTTAGGATGGCTTAGGAGCTCCGACAGACTCTTTCACAAGAGCAACAGTCAGAAGACGTCCTAAAGCTTGAACCCTGAGCCCAGACACCAGGAAGCCGCCCAGAGCTGCAACAAAGGACTGGCAGAAGCCAGGATCCGTGACAAGATAGACACGGTGCGTCAGCTGCCTTGGGCAAGGAGGGCTGAGGGGCCTGCTTTGGGGGGGGGGGGGGGGCCTCTGTGTGGTGGATTTCTTGATAAGGAGTCGCCTTATTTGAAAAGATCCATACCCCCAACTTCCGAAAGAACATACTCCAGGAATACTCCTGAAACGATCTAAAGGATCCTACAAAGACTTTTGGACCTTCTTTAAGTAAGGGGTCTTCAAAATCCTGCGCAACATATTCCACACTCCTCTACACCCGACACCAGGGCCCTCAAGCGAGGCTCAGCAGAGTTGGCAGCAGCGCGGGCGTGACCAGGAGGCTCATGATGACCACCTGCCCAGAACTCTCTGAAACTTCTGGGATGTACTTTGGGTCCCTGTTTGACATACTGAGCAAGGGGTTTACGGAGCTGTCAAAGTGGGGTGATAGAGAACTGCTCACCTCCGAGAATTGGTCATTTGAGGCGTCAAGCCTAGGCGTTTTAAACCTGTGTTTTCTTTTTGCCTGTTCTGGGGAGGAGGAGGAAATTGGAATTGAGGGCAGAAGAGGACTGATCCCTTTCTAATGTGTTCCTTTTCCAATGTGTTCCAGATTGTTCCAGAAACTCCAACAGCTTAATTTCGGGCACAGCGTCCTTTTGGGAGGGGTCCGCAGCTCTTGAAACCCCAAACCCAAACCTTCACAGGGGGCTTGGGGCCCATATCATGAATGCAAGCCCATGAAGGGCCTATGCTGTCATGTGCGTCGAGCCCGTTTACGTTTAGGGCTGCAAGTTTGAGGATCAGAAAGGAGGCCGAACGTGGTCGGCGTCTTTTGTATCTTGGAATGCCGCTTTCTACCTAAACCCTCAGCCATCAACCCCCGACCCCAAGCCCCCTCCTCGGCAGCGCAGAGCACCCACTTTGGGGGCCCATGTGGGAAGTCGAAAGCCACGGAGTGCACCCCGTCAACGGCCAGAGTGTTCAGCAGAAACTCGGCCGCTTAGGGATCCGGGTGTAGTTTTGAGGGTTGTTGAAATAGCCATCGCCCTTAAACCCTAGAGCTCTTGCGAGCCCCTCAAAACACGCAGTAGGTGGCCGGCGTAGGTTCCGGGGCTTAGGACTTAAGCCTTGGGGTTGAGGGTGTGGGTTTTAGGTGTTTAGGACATGCACCCTTTTTTCCGGAATTTTCAACACCGCTTCGCAAGATTCTTCTGTGTGCCCGGGCGGGGAAGGGGGGGGAGCTGGAATAGTGTCCTTCACCTTTTGCTTATGTATACCATTGCATAAGGGTACCATGAACGTTGCAGCCGGGCGACGAAAGAGCTCCCAGGCAAAAAAGCCACAAAGCAAGTGCCGTAGCCTCGGTGGAGGCGGGAAGTTCGAGTATTCGGAAGGATTTCTAGCAGGGACCCTCCTACAACTTCCAATTTCACAAGTAGTCCTTGCATAACCCCGGTACTTCCCTTATAGTTACCGGCGCCTCCTTACTGTGGTCTCACAAGTTTTGTAGGCACAAGGCCGTAGCTGATTGAGGGTTGGAGGGTTTTCGGTCTTTATGGTCTTGAGTCTTCAGGTTGCTGGGTGTTTCTGAGAGACCTGCAGGAAACCCTGAACCCCACAAATTAGACCCCAAACCTTTGAACATGTGTAGGACGCGTGGCTGAGAAAGGTCTGGTCGCCCAGTTTGTCCATCAAGGCTGCCCGCAAATCGCCTTTCAGGATCTAGCGTCTAGGGCTTTAGGGGTAAAAGTATCAGAAGCCGGCTTAGGTGAAGAGCTACATCTGAACCCTGCCTGGAGACCCCCCCCCCCCCCGCCCCGGACTTGAAGATAGGCTATGGTGCTTTAGTGGTTTATGTTTGTGAAACCCTAAACCGTACACCCTATATAAACCCTGAAAGGCTTCTGGAGTCCAAGGAACCTTGCACGTAAGCGTTGAAAGCGTCCAAACCCGAGTCGTGCGACAGCTCCACCGTGGGCTGAACCACCGGCCCATCTTCTTCCTAGCTTAGCCCCTTTAAAGCAAATGAGGGGTTGAGGCTTGTGGTCTAAGGTTTGAAGTGGCCCTTTAGAAGTTCCCAAACCCACAGAAAAAGGGGGCAAATGAGGTAATCTCAAGTCCTCCCTAGCTTCAGAACCAGAGCTGCATCGGAAGAGCAAAGAACTGAACTCCTCCTCCTCAGGGATTCAATAGATTCGTCTTAGCCTCTGGCCGACAAGCGTCTGAAATAAGCAGGCCAGGATCGGGTCTTTTCCCCCCCGTCTCCAGCCCTTCCCCACCCCACCACCAACAACACCAACCAGAGCTGCAAGAGGCACCCCGACACTGGGAGCAGCAGTGGCATCCCGTCGCATGCACGGCTCGCTGCAACTGCCGCACCCTAACACTCCCTAAAACTCCCGTGTGTTTGCGTTCTACAAGTATGGCACACAAGAGGAGTCGGGCATTTGAGATCATATTCTGTCACCTATCTTGGGGAGTACTCTCCTCCGCCTCTGAGAGGGAGGTCACCTCTTTGGATGTGCCGGAAGCCTCCGAGACAGAGCAGACGGCCGACCCACCTGCGGATACAGTCGACGCAAAAAGCTCATTTACCAGCGTTTCCAACGGCTGGCGGTCGGACGGATCCGAACATTTGCATCTCCGGATATCGAAGGCTGCGAACTGCTGCAGCATCTCTTCGTGGCCCTGGGCTTTCTGGCCCAGCGCCCACATCGACGGCGCTAGAACAACAATGTAGCCTGGAAGCAAGATCAAGACCAGAAGAAGGTTGTTCAAGAAATGGTTGAGCCCACGGTCGGATGCAAGTGGTGACAATTCCTGTGGTGAGGACCAGCTCCATACTAGGAGAGCAGCAATGCAAACACAGCCTTGCAGGATGTCCAGCAGCATGGTAGTTAAAAGCCAACGCGGCAGCCACAACGGCACGAAGTGGACGGGCTCGCAACCAGATTTTTTCACAAAGGTGGCCAACTCCACAATGCACCTTTGCTGGCTTGGAGACCCTAACAACTCAACTTGTAGCCTCTCTACAGGAGTAGGAAGCCCAAACAAAACTAAAATCCTGAGTCGAGGCGAAAGCCAGCCAAGGCTCCACAAACGGTCCAGGTATGACTCATCATACAACATAAGGAACTGCGAAGACCGTGCAACGAAAACAGGAAGGGCTGCGATGCCGGACGCTTTCTGACGAGCGTCCGTCTGCTCGATGCATAGCCTGTCTAGCCACAGCGTCGGCTTGCGTTCTCCACACGTGGCGTGCTGACCCAAGAAGAGGACTTGAAAGAAGATGCCCAGCACCACAAGCCAAGAAACAGCTACGAAGAAAATGGTGTCCTAGGTGTATACCAGCCAACCATTTCAAAACACATGCATGTATATAAATGTGGACATATACATACATAGAAGTATATAGAAAACCTAGATCCAGGGTCTACCAAAAAAGACAAGAGAGTGACTTCAAAACTTGGTACCCCAGTGTCTCTGTCATAGCCACTTCGTCGACCGATGCCACGGCAAGAGGCTGCCAAAAAAATCAGGACCAGAACCAAGGCCACGGCCTCCAGGGCCTGCCAGAGAGTTCTGTGAAGGATAACTTAAAGCTGTTTGGGGGCTTGGGATATTTATGCTATAACAACATACATCTCCCCCCGAATAGTGGAAGAAGTTTTTAGACCCTCACCCCATGTTCGGTTGAGGAGCGGGGGGGGGCAATCCATATTAGGGGGGGGGAGAGCGATTCTGGGTGACTTACCTTAACTTCCCTATAAAATTTATAAAAGCAACCCGTAAACCAGCACCAAAGGCTACAGGAGTCTGCTGCCTTGCCCAGGTTCAGCACGCGGCACAGTGCCAGATACTTGGGCCATCCATCCGAGGACCAGGAATGGCTCACAAAGATATCGACTTCAAAGGCTTGGGTGCTCACATCCTCATCCAGGTGCATGTCTTTACCTCAAGGAACCGAGGGCTTCATGGGCGCGCAGGGGCTTCGTGGGAAATACTTACAAGGATGCTGAGGAGGCATGCCATCAAACCCAAACTAAACCCTAAACCTTGCCAAGTTGCGGAAAACCGACCCAAATCCTTGTAAGATGTCGGAGCCAGCAACAGTTCTGAGGAGGCCTCGCTGCAAAACATCCTCAATCTCCGGCCTCTTCGATAGAATGTCCATTGTCAGGGTGAAACTGAACGGAAGGATTTGGATTTAGGGTCTGGGGTCAAGGGTTCGGGGCTTTATTCTCATCTTAGTTGGAGGCGTGGCGCTTCGAGGGTTTCGACGCTTCTTACAAGGTACGATAGATCCACCCTCGTTGAAGGTCATACATCCACTGGAGCTCGCATGTTGTAGCATGCATGCTGTCGCACCCCGTTCAGGGTTGTTTGGGGCGTGGGCTGCTTGGGATTGGGGTTTGGGGTTTGCGGCTTGGGTGCAGCTCGAAACATCGCCCCATGTACTGCAGCCGGCGTTTCAAAACTGCATGGCTGTAGCTCATGAGGAGGCTTTCTAGAACAGGTCGAACGTTTCGGGTCCCCACACACTGTAAACCCTGCGTAACGGCTATACGCACCCAGAACCAATTCAGGATTGAGGGCTTCAACAATCGCGATCCACAAACCAAATTCCTGAACACGAAATGAAGTTACAGCCGAGTGAAGCCTGGCGCCCCGTCGTAGCTTTTGAGACATCGGCCAAAGGCACGGCGTCTAGTCTGGCAATTTCAGCAAGATGCCACCAGCTGGAACACTGAGAGTGAAGTGAAACAAAAGCAAAGCCACAAGTCCCAGAAGCCCTGGGCCTTGGTCGACCGCAGAGCAGCACACGACTTTTGCGCTCAAAGCGAAAGAGGCACACAACACTCTCGAGCACGAAATCTAGCGAGTCCTAGAGAATCACGGGGGCTTTAATATGTACAAGCCCGTATCCTTATACATGTCATGGGTTCATGACACGTGGCTATGAAGATCCTTGCGAGTAGCGCGACTCTCGCATGTAGATGAAAAATCGGATGAGGACTGCAAATGCTGCCTGCTGCCAAATCATCGACGCCATCGATGGAGTGATCGAGGTGCCATATGCAACAGTAACTGCGATGCCAGCAATGCCATAGACAATGATCAGAGAGGTGACGAGGACGGCGTCATCCAGCAGCGGATAGTAAGCCGCGAAGTACGGCAGAACCTGGTCAAACAAACTCTCCGTGATACTTTGCTTCGTGCCCATCATCAGTAAAGGAAGCAAATGCACGAGAATGATCGAAATAATCATCAGCTGCCTCACGTGCACTGAAGATGCAATGTGAAGCTTTAGGCAGGTTACGGTTTGGAAGCACTGAAACTACTTGAAGTGGCTTAGTACAAGGTTTATGGCTTCGGGCCTTAAGGGTTTTGGGCTTTTGGGTTGAGGGGCTTGAAAATCAGCCAAACAGACGAGGATGCAGCAGCTTGTCGCTCGAGCGGGCATCGTTGATGTTGAGCAAACTGCTCCCAGGCCGTTCATGAAAGCACCAGGACGACAAGAACATGAAAGGGACAACACCCAGAGTAATCACGAGCACCACTGGTGGGCAAGCATGGGCCCCGGTCGCATTGTTGACCGAAACAACCAAAACCTCGATTGCTGTAGGAAGTTACAGGGCTTAGGGTTTAGGGCTAAAGCCAGCCATCTTATTGACAATAAACTTCCCAAAAATTCTTCATATGGTCACTGAATCTAGGTTTCTCAACAGAAACCCAAGAACGGTCAGGGCCAGGAAGGTCAGCCGCCCACGATGCCTCGTCGCGGTAGATGTTTTTGGCATACGGGCCACAGTGTGGAGACTGCCAAGCATCGCTGCAAGTGCAAAGGCTACTGTCAGACCTGTGCCTGAAAAGTGCATGCGAAACAGTGCGAAACCTACACGATGATATATTGGTCGCCATGAACTACTAAATGCACCTTCAAGTGGACCCAAAAGTTGAAACTACAAATCCTAGAGCTAAGCAGCAGAGCCACGAAAAATGTTTCGCCCAGAACATAAACGTAGATTCAGCCACCATGCAAAGGATTCTTTAAAAATGGTTTCCTTATTGTGGCAGGTCCTTAACAGCAACCCAGTTCAGGTCGAGTTTCAGCATTCTGTCGGGATAAAACCAAGAACGGGTGATTCGGAATAGCGAGACAGTCTCGAGATCAACATAGAACAGAAATGTCGTCAGCTCATTGCGGTTCTGCGTTGTCAAAGGTGTGCCAGGCAGTCGGCCCTCAGGTTTGGAGTCAAAGACTGAAGAATTCTACCCCTCGATCACATTGCCTGAACTCCTACACTCACTGCAATTCTTGGGTTAACCAGACTTGAACCAGGTGAGCGTGCCAAGTAAGCTAGAAGACCGCAAAGATCTCCAGTCTACAGGCTTAAAGTCCCCAAAACCCATGCAAACCCTCTGAATCCTGACCCTGTGAATCCCTGAAACTCGAAACTGTAGGATTCTCGTTTCCTCCCCGTGAATCGAGGGCTTTGCGGTTTAAGGGCCTGGAAATGTGACCCTGCTTAATTCTTTTCGCTTCGGTGCGTCCGAAGTACGCATGGAACCATGTGGGATTCTGAGTCTCACTGCTCGAATCAGTGATCTTTAAAGATGGAGCAGAAAAGCCGGACGCGGCTGCAGACCAAGTACGTCTGTCAAAAGCAAGAGGTTGGTGAACTTCGGCAGGCAGAGGCGCTGTATCGGGAGGGCCACTGACACGGCAACCTACAACCTTGCCCACATGATGGTGCCGAGGCAGAGGTGCTGTATCGCGATGTGATCAACGGACAGCGGGTCATTCCTGACTGCCATGAGGACGAGGAATTCGTCTTGCATGCTTTGGGCATTTTGGGGAACATCTTGAAGCAGCAGGGCAGGAATGATGACGCCGAGGAAATGTGGGTGCAAGCTTGAAGGCTCTCCACAGTTGCGGCAAGCCTAGCAGCTTCAATGCTTGCGCGGCTGAAAGAAGCTGGCTGCAGGGATGCTGATCATGTGGCTGTGAACTTGCTCAAGGAGTTGGGAAACAGGGGCTCTTCACCGACATCCGTTGCGACCTTCCTTGAGAGCTGCGTTCCTTGGAGCGTCGGGAGACGGACGCACTTGTGAAAGATAGCTGCGTCATTCTCCATGGTCTTGAAACAGAAGTATGAAGGCCACTGAATGGGCGCCAGGGTGTAGTCCTTGGAAGAGGTACTGCAAGCGGTCGCGCGGCTGTTCAGGTTGATGGCGCTGGGCGGAAGCTATTCAAGCGCATGAACTTGGCCTGGTCTCCAGGACTTCCTCAGGCCACTACTACCTTCTCTCACGGTACGCCAAAGAGCAAGCTGGCTGCAGAACGGTGCACGAAGCACGACTGGCAAACAAGGGGCATACTCGGCCTTGTCACCAACCTTCTCGATACAATCGAACTGACGGATTCGGTGCCCAAGCCAGGCTTCCGAGTTGTCGATGCAACTATCCAACCAGTTTACGGAACTGTTCCCCCTGATCAAGCGATCTGCGATGGAAGTCCGCTACCCTGGTCTCCTTTTTCCTCTAAGACTCTGAAGTGCACGAGGCGCATGTGGGTCAACGAACCCAAGGCCTGCGCAAATTGAAACCCCCGCAGCAAGCGGATTCGCAGCAGTACTTGCAAAAGAAAGTCTCCTTTACCAGAACCTACATGACAAAGTCAAAAGATGTAGCAAAGGCCAATAAAAAGGCAAGGAAAGCAAACAAAGAACATTGAAAGCCATTCTGAAGATAGCCCACGCTGCGCCACCCGGATCCTCATGGCAGCCGTGGCCATCCGCATGGCCAAGGGCCTTTCATGTGAATGGGTTGCACAAAAAACATGCTGTCCCCTGCATTGCTATGCAGGGACGTGTTGTGCCCTAGGAGCTTGAAACGGTTGCGTGCAGCAAGGTATTGCGCTAAGACAGTTTCCGTAACCATGCGTGTGAACAAATTCAAACTACACACGCAACATTCAGCTGTACACCCAACGCCCAGCCTCTTCAACCAGCTCTGCGGCTAGAGGCAGCTCACAAAGGCCAAGGTCCAGTTCATCGCCTTCACACCAGCGTGAAAGGTTTACTTTGTAGGGTCTCGGCGCCTTTATGGTTCATTCTGACAGAGAACCAAAAGACTTAGGAAAAAAAAAACAAACATCAGCAAGAAACACAACAGATGGCTATGCCAGGGAGTCCAGTCACATATACTCAGAAAGCTGTCCAGGCTACGATCTGCCGAGGACGAGCCGTCTGCGGGCATCTCCCGATCACACAAAAGCAGCACAACAGGCCTGGGGTGAATTTGGGGTTTTGTGGGGTCATATGAGATATGGGGCTATATCTTTTTGGTTATAGGAATGTATATTGTGTAAGGTTATGAAGGGCTTTAAAGAAAAATCCAGATTTGGCCCAAAGGCGGGCGCCAGGCTTCGGACATGGTACCCAGCAAGCCTGCTTGGGATTGTCACGTGAAGTTGGGGGGCAATCCCTGGAGCCAACTTGCTATCTGTTGGGGCTTCAGATCTGAAATTGAAACTTCCGGGTTAAGAAGCGAACATGTTGCAAGTGCTGTAGTTTCCTTACTATGGAACTGTCATTTACATTTGTGTTACAGTTTCAGAGAAAAGACGCCCTGCCTTGGATCAGTTGCGCCAGAGCTCGTTCGTTGTAGTACCGCGGGTACACCACGTCCGAAGCCACCACAAGCTGCACAGACTGAAGAGGAACTTCTTGGGGCATCGATGGATCAGTCTCCCAGTTCCAAAACACGGGCTGAACTTTCGCAGATGCACGAACATTCTGCTTCAAGTTCTCCCACGCATCCTCGTCGCCCTCAACGGCGAAGACTTTGCCGGCTCCGGCCTCTGCCAAGGCGAGCGCCAGGAACCCCGTCCCAGCCCCCAGCTCTAAAACGGTAGCACCCGCCAGCTCCGTACCCAGAGACTCTCGCAAGGAGGCGCGTAACCACTGTAGTAAGACGCGAGCTGCTGGCCAGACGATGCAGCTGGCCCTGTCATCAACTTCTTGCACGGTCGGCCCGTGTCTTGCAGGAAGCATCACGATTCCAAGTTCTAGGGAAGATGTCGACGCAAGGTTTTTGGATTCAGGGGACCATGCTGCTTGGGCATCCAGATTGTGTGAGACAAGCACCCTTCGGCCAAAAATAACGGGAACAAAGCTTCCATTTTGTCAACAACTACCCAGGTCACAGTGGCCAGCGCCTCCAGTACAGGACGCCCAAAACTGCTCTAAAATGCATTCTTCCCTGTTGCTCGAATCGCTCGAATGCGGTCTGGCGGCCTCGAGGCTGCGATCCTGCAGCCGTGCAGAAGCTCCGGACTGAAATGGGATGGAATTCAATTTCATTTCTGCTGTGTCTAGTCTGCATTCATTGGGGTCGCGGGACCTCTGTAGAAGAGAGAGGTTAGAGGTCGAGTCGTCCCCCGCCAGAGCCCAGGATGAGTCTAGGTGGATGAGTCCGCATGAGTCCGGGATGAGTCCGGGATGAGTCAGGATGAGTCCCCCAACATGCATCCAGAAGCCTCCACACGGCCCACCAGAGCCTAGGATGAGTCCAAGATGAGTCCGAATGAGTCCGGGATGAGTCCAGAATGAATCCCAATGGAGTTCCCATGAGTAAACCCTAAATCACCCCAAAAACCCTTTGAAACGCCACCGGTCACACCTTTGATCCACTCTCCGAAGGTCTGCAAAGCAACCTCGGGAGCGAGGTATTGAGGATCCTTGTTTATAGTTTTCTGGGTTTTTGGGGCGTCGGGCTAAAGGATCCTTATTATATCTTGCTATAAGTTTTAGTATGGGGTTTAGGGTTTAAGGTTTTCAGGAGCTCTGGGGTGGGCTTTGTCAGGGATGATTTGGAGGCTTTGGGGTAATTTTTTTTTTGGGGGGGGGGGGGGGTTGGGGGGGGCCAAGAATGAAGCTGCGCACGTTGCAGGTTTTCTGCCACAAGCCGCTGCCGGTCGGATCGTGCACTCCTTGCAGGCATCGTCAAATGTACTGGCGGACCTTCCAGCCCTCTCAGCAAGCGATTTCTGCTGTTGAGATGTCCTTGTCCGGGTTGTAGATGGCCAAAAAGTCTTGAACCAGGCCATGCTCCGGGCAAGCAACCTGACGCAGCTCCCAGGGGCTCATCACAGCTGCAGCCGCTCCACCGCTCGTTCCGCGCATTGAGTGAAGGTCGAAGCCGGAGGTTCCAAACAGCGTGAACAACTCAGCTGTGCTCGAGCCGTGGCCACGAAGCCAATCCTGCGCCAGCTCAAACTTGATGGCATTCACAGCCCCTGACTTGAGAAGCCGTTGGCCCCCTCGGAGAATCTTTGTCTCAAAGCCCTGCGCGTCCAACTTCATGAGGTGAATGTATGGTGGAGAGCCGCTTGCCATGAAAATCTCGTCCAAAGTTAGGATCTCAATGTGCGCCGCCGGCTTGGAAGACGAGTGCACAGGGTGACCAACCACCGAGTTGCCTGCGTTGCCCTTTTCCTTAGTGTTGGTGGGGGAAGGTACCAATAGAGTAATCCCTTAGAGGGTATAAATAAGGGATACATTGTACTTCATTCCAATGAGTTTCTTCATAGATGGGGAGGTTCGCCGCCACCTCGCCCAAGCCAACGGGATACAAGGCAATCTTGGACTTGAAATTATTTTTCATGATGGTGCTCGTCAAGTAGAAAAGGTTTGCAGGATTTGGCTCGTAGGCCACCACCATGTCCACATCTGGTCTGGCAAGCATTTGAGCGGTACATGCGCCGATGTTTGCGCCAACTTCTACGAATAACTTCTTGGAGTTCGCCGGTCTGCCTGAGCCTGGACAAATTCTGAAATCCGGATGGTCAACACGAGCAGCATTGTTGGGAAGAGATAACCACAACTGCGTGAGCACTGGGCAATCCGGCCAGTATCCTGCCGCTTTAACCGCGTCTGAAACGCTATCGTGGTAATTTCTCACGCACATGCTGGGCTCCTTGCCACCTCCCAGTGCAGACCCTGGATCGATCATGACACGTTCAAAACACTGGTGGCCTCCATCGTCCCCTAACACGGACGAACCATCCCAAAGCTTTGGGCATTCTGCAAGACCTGGACGCTGCGTGCCGGTCTCGTACACGAGAGCCCGGCAACAGACGAGAGTGATCGAAGCAATCACCCACTTCATTCTGATATCTCCAAGATCAGAGCAATCACTGGCTCTCTTGAGACGAGCGGCGGCGGACAAGCATTCCCTGTATCTCCCTGGCATCTCTTTATGGATGCCCTAACCCCTAAGCCTTAAACCGTTAACCGATACTACCCATAGCTCCCTGCGACTGTCCTGACAGGGAAGAATCCGGAGTCATGGCTGCATCTTCTCTTTCGGGGAGTGGTAAATACATACATACACACACGCATACATACATACATACATACATACATACATACATACATACATACATACATACATACAGACAGACAGGCATGCATACATGCATACATACATACATTCATTCATTCATACATACATACACACACATACATACATACATACATACATACATACATACATACATACATACATACATACATACATACATATATACATACACATTGTGAATTGACCAACACTGGTCTTGCCTTAAATCAATGCAAACACAAGCGGTCAAGCTCAAGCCCTTGAAAGCCCTCCCCCCCCCTTCAAGGCTTGAAAGGAATTAGAGAATTAAATCAGATGTGTTTCTTGCTTTTTTTACATTCATGGGTGGAGCAGCAACAACAAGTCTTGGTAGAACACCAAAACAAAAAGTCTGTGTGTGTGCATGTGTGTGTGAGCAGTTATGTGCTTTGGATCAACAGTGACAATAAACAAAAAAATGAAAAAAATCTTTGAACAGGTCCAACAAAAACTGAAACCTGCTTTGGAAAATGTGAAAGCTTCTTTCTTTGCCAAGGATGTCTCAGCACCATTTTGAGTCAGATGGAGTTTTTTTCTTTTTCAGTCAGGAAATTCAAGTTTTTGGTGAAATTCAAAATCTGTCAGTGGTCTTGACACACTCTTTGGTTTAATTTGGTTTTCTGCTGAAGTGGTGTTAAAACTCTTTTTAAATCGGTTTTTGAGAACTTTAACAGATTTGAAGGCAAAGACGAAGGGAGGGTGCTTGTGCCTGCCCACAGCTCTTTTGCTCCTTGCGATCTTTGGGGAAGTGCACGCTGCTTTTCTTGTACTTTGGAATCAGCTTCGAATCATGACTTCAAAAAGCGAAGATCGCACAAATCAAAGACGCGAACTTCACATGTGAGCGTCACGACTTTTTTGTTTTAGTGCCCCTTAGAAAGCTATTACCTGGAAGGTCCGGGCCGGACGTCTCAATTCTTGACATAAGTTTCCAACGCCAAATTCAGCACCGCAAAACGGGCTTCTTTGCCATCTTCGCACTGCGCGCCAAGATAGAAACATCTGAGTTCAAGCAATAAGTATTGAAAACAGGCATTCGAGTTACATATGTGGGCGGTGTAAGCAGAGTCCGCGGAGGCCTTCCAAGGTGGAATTCCACTTAGAACGGCAGCGGAGTCAAGGTGAGCCCGTTGTAAATATACAATGGTTTTTTAAACCGGGGAAGACACGACTCCGCTGCATGTGTACCATCCCTCGTGCACCAATCCTGCAACATCTACGCTAAGATTTTGTGGGGTGGGAGGTAATCTTGCTTCCTGAATTTTTTTCAAGAACTGCAAAGCTGCGCAAAAGTTGCTTTCCGTGTTCACTGGTGACCCTAGAAACCCCACCTGACATCGTGCCCATTTTATGCGCCCCAAACTGACACATTCTTTTGAAACGTTCAACGCAACCCCCCTGGGTACGGTCGATCCTTAATCGTCAGCCGACACCGCGCCAGACGTGAACCTACGGTCACGCCAGCCTAACGCTCAAAGTTCAAATGAAGAAACAGAAACGACATGTTATGGCAAATTCCCACTTGGGGCTAAATTGGATCTGGAGCTGGAAAGGACTCAATGCAAGAAGGGTTGTAATGGTTCTTCCACTGTGCTTAGGGGGCGCAGAAACAAAACCATAAGCCAAACTGCACATTGCATTTCGGATGCCACACTGGTGCACAATCTGCATGCACTAAAACGCAGATGGACTACTGTGCGCCCTTCCAAAATGCAAAGGCCGGAGACCCGGAGTTACCTCCACGCGGCTGCAGAGTTGGCCACAGGTTTAGAGCTTTGGGGCGGGTAACACTTAGGACCCGCTGAACAGTGAACCTATCACATCACACGCAGCCAATATTCACTTCGCAAGCTCTGTGCTCCTGGTTAGTAAGAGCAAGAACCACCAAGGTGCTTTAGAAGAATGAATCAATTAAAATCCGGGGTTTCCAGCCATGGGGGGGAGGGCTTTAATTCTTAAAGAGCTAAAGGACTTTGAAGAGAGAAACAGGCTGAAGGGACCTTTAAAGAGCTTGAAAGGGCTTGGAGCTGAAGGGCTTTGAAGCAAGGGAAGGGCTTCATTGAAGTTAATTGGGAACATTTTCACAAAGGTGCAGCACGGCCCGGACTCTTTGCATCCCACCTCGCGCATTAGAACTACAACGTGATACACTTCCAGCGCGAAGACACCAAATCAAGTGCCCCGGACTCGGAGCTTTTTCGACATGTGTTTTCGGCAGAATTTTACGGCGAAAACAACTCAAGGAATGTTCTTTTTGGGAAGCAAAGAAACCAGGTAGGCTTTTTTTGTTTAAGCGGGTGCCTCTTTACTACATCAGTAGCACAGTAGGCCGTTCTTGTGGGTCTCTCAACTAGGTGTGAAACAGATCGCCAGTTAAAAGCAACATAACCGAGAACGAGGAAACCACCAAACTAACCAAAGCAGCTACGCAACAAACAACCGACGAACCAGAAGAAGGCGACGAACCAGAAGAAGGCGGCGAAACTACTAAGCAAAAACCCCACGCGCTCAGTGCCCAAGCTCGTCGATGTAGTCCCTGAGCAGAGCCATACAGCACCAAGTCGTTTGGGGGAATCGCAAAAATGCGATTGTGTGCCAGAGAACAAAACCACCACGCAATCATCTGAATAAGTTGGCAACCTGCACGTTGGATAGTCACACACACAGAAGGTTGGAGAGTCACAAATCCGCAGCTACCATTGCCGGCATTCCAAGATCGGGCGGTGTGAGCCTACGCGAACGGTTGCAACGGCCGAAGTTCGACTGTTGTGGCAACCGAAGCATGATGCAATACACCATCGGGGCCTACCCCTCCCACAGGGAGAAGGCGGACGCCTCTTTACTACATCAGTAGCACAGTATATAGGCCGGTCTTGTGGGTCTCGCAACTAAGTGTGAAACGAGTCGCCAGAAAGAAACAACAGAACCAAAGAGAAGAAACAACCCAGCCAACCAAGCAGCAACACCAGAACCAACCAAAGAACCAAGAGGGGGCGGCGAAACTACTAAGAAGACCCCACGCGCTCAGTACTCAAGCTCGTCGATGTAGTCCCTGTTCAGAGCCAATGCAGCACCAAGTCGTGCGGGGGAATCGCAAAATGCGATTGTGTGCCAGAAATCAAAATCACCATCACGCAATCATCTGAATAAGTTGAGAGCCTGCAGGGAAGATGTTTGCATGCTCGCAGCAGTCTTGGCAGACATTCCAAGGACGGACGGTCTACTCGAAATGCTGCAGCGGCCGATGTTTGACTGTTGTCGTAACCGAGACATGCAATATACCACCGGTGCCTACCCCTCCCACAGGGAGGGCAGGCCAATTTGCCCCATGGTGATCAGCCAGTGGGGTCTTCTGGGCCACAGCCGACTGACCATGGCGATCAGCCGAGGGTGCGTACTGCCTGGCGAAGCAGCACAGTGCAGCGTAGAAGCACGCACCGTGACCAGTCGGCGAGGGGTCTGGTGTTCGCCCTACTGAATCTTCCTCCCATGGTGATCAGCCAGTGGGGCTATCCAAGGGCTACCGATTCAATCGCTCTTAACAGGGTATGTTGCATCAGATGCTTTCATTCTTGCCATAGCAAGCACTGAATACGGATGACGCAGTTATCCTATCATTGCCAGGGACCATCCCATCTGCTATCTGCCTGTCGGCACCGTCCAGACCATCGAGAGTGTAGCTCCGCGACGGCCCCTGCTGGGGCCGCCACCACGGACGACTGTGCAAGGTCCCAGTTAAGATCCTGTGACGTACTTCCCACTTTTCCCAGCAACTTCTCCGCTTCCGTTCAGGCGTAATGCCTTTGGGAATGAGCACTGACGACAATTGGGCCACTTTTGTGTTGGCAGAGTGCCACAGCGTTTTAGCGGCCGCATTTATTTGCTCGTACTGGATTACTCCGTCATCCTTCTGCCTGTAAGGGAAGGAGGTCACCGCTTTGAGAGCAGAGGGTTCTGGCTCTGTGGCGCGCTCCAGGAACATGAATCTGGAGGCGGCCAGAAAGAGGCAGGTTCCGACAATTAACGCGTTTGTGAGGGTCACCTTGGAAGGCTCGCATGCGCTCGGGCATAGACAATATCGCAAGCTCAACCCGACACCCTCCGTTGCATTTTCTTGATGCCGTCAGACAGGCTGTCTCGGCGTCAGTGGCAAGCCAACACCTGGAGCATTTTTGGGCGGCCTATAATCTGGAGTGGCCAGATATTACGGCACGTGCCAATGTATCGTTTCGTCGTGTCCTCCCATTGGAGGGACTTCTCGATATGCCACTTGCCACGGAGCCCTCCGCGGCGGCACATAGCGAACAGCACCTCAATGTCCACGGCAGCTCCTCCGAGTCGGAAGACATCCGGCCAACGTCCCCTGCTCCGAAACCACAAGAAATGGAGGATGCTGCGCCGCAAGTAAGGGACTGGCGCTTTTCGGAGCTGCACACCACTGACCTAGCTGCTTTGCGAGAAGTGGACGTCTGCATTTCCTTCCGATTGCCGGTTTTGAAGATGACCACTGGAACCGGCTTGTGGCGCCCCCAACCATGCGTGGGCCCAAAGCACGCCCGCACAGAATGGTACGACGCTGCTACGGCGCACTGGGCCGCCATCAAGGGGCTTGCCCGGTCGAGGCACCCCACAAAACAAAGTCTCAATAGCTTTTGGTTCAAGATGTACTGTTCTCGCAAGCTTGACTCCTGCACCTGTCCTTGCACCATGGGGAAGCCTTTTTTATC